AGTGGACCGATGTTGCCCACCTTCAAACCCGATTTATGTTTGCCAATAGTATTACGATGTACAAAATTTAGACCAAATCGGATACCGCACCAGTCAGATGGACGGACGAACGCCCCTAGATCGACTCCAAAACGGATTTGGTTGAAAAAACCTAGGGACCAAAACCATAATTTCGATAAGACGCGTTTTGGCCGTATCTAATGATTTATAACCCCTGTAGGGTATATGGTGAGAAAATGTTTTCAATTTTTTGTTTGCGAATATTTATGCAGATATTTGTATACCCTACACCACATAGTTGTAAGCGTATTATGTGCTTATGCTTTTATTTGTAACATGGACAAGGAAGTGAGGTAGACCCATAGTTACTTTTGAGGATGTTCATAGAATCAATTACTGAGTCGATTTATGTATATCTGTCCATGTATTCTTGTGAACAAAATACAGGTCGCATTTATAACCCGATTTAGGTGAAATTTTCCAAATAATATTTGTTTTGCACAAGGATGAACCCTATTAAAATTGTTGAAGATCGGATCAGATTTTGATATAGCTCCCATGTATATCTTCAACCGATTACGGGTTAGTTTGGCACCAAATAGCCAATATCAGTCCAAAGGACGTAAATTTTGGCACATCCGAGTTCAATTAAGAAGAAAGTACGTTAATTTTAATGAAATTCGCTTCAGATATCGCGATAGTTCCCATACATATGCTTCATCAGATTTAGTATTGCAAGTACATCAAATTTGGAGAACATCGCTTCAGATATAGCTATAGCTCCTATATACATATATTTCAGCCGATCTGGGGTTTTAAGTCCCTCACATTCGTAATATGCACTCCACAAGAATGATATATGTTACCAGATGTCAGATACAGCCCAGAAATGCCTCTGTTATCGAGATCGGATCAGATTTGGAATAGCTCCCATATAAATCTTTATCCAATACCATGTTTATTGTGCACCAAATGGCTAATATCAGCTTAAATGACCTGAATCTTGGCAATTCCGACCGAATTCCGTCTAGAAGCAAGTACATCAAATTTGGAGAACATCGTTACATATAGATTGATAAAATTTTACTCAAATGTATATTATGTCAACAGGACTTTTGGTATTGAAAATGGGCCATGTAAGTCTACGTTTTGGTATAGCCCCCATATAACGATATCTCCCCATATTCGGTTCGTAATGGAAAATACAGCCTATGGCAGAAAATTGTCTATGCAGGTCTACGTCTTTGTATAGCCCCTATATAACGGTACCTCCCGATATTTCGGTAATCTATGGTACCAGATATAAGATACAACCCAGAAATACATCTATCAAATTTTATCAAGATCGGATCAGATTTGGATATAGGTCCCATTTATTTATTTATTTATATATATATATATATATATATATATATATATATATATATATATATATATATATATATATATATATATATATATGATATCAGGTTTATTGTGTACCAAATGGCTAATATCAGCCCAAATGGACTAAATTTTGCCACTTCCGAAGAAATTCGGTTCAGATAATCGGTTCGTGTTAAAGACCCTCACATGCGTAATATGCACTCCACAACAAGGACATTTGATACCGGCCATCAGATATAGCTCGAAAATATCTTTGCCAAATTTCATCGAGATCGGGTATAGTCGGCCCCGTCCGACTTTTGAACTTACCTTACTGGTTTTGATATACGATGGAAATGGATGTTTATTTTATTTGGCGCTTTACAGTAACATTTCATAAAGGATATTTATATCATGGGCGTCGTACTTCTAAAAAGTTCTGCTGTGTTTTTTTACAAACTCACAAAAATTGCGACTTTAACCCTAGAATGGGTGAATACCCTAAAACACTATGTGTTCGGGGCATTATAAGTTTGATTGGGCCAACAATTATCTAACACCTCGATATTGGTTTCCCACATAGGAAAGTATATATGGATCTTCCTATCTCGCCGAGCCGAGTCGATCTAGCTATACATGTCTGTCCGTCTGTCCATGTTAATTTGTTATCACGCTACACGTCGCAATTGTGGCTCGATTCTCACGAAATTGAAAAAGAGGTGGGCAAGGGTTAGAATAGAAGCCTACTGATTTTGGAAGTGATCGCAAATATTAAGAGGTTGAAATGGATCAAAAACAAGAAACTTTCCTGATTTTGCTGTTGCTCTACAAGTCGCAATTATAGACCAATCGAAACGGAAGTTAGCATGGGGCTTGAGTTTAGGGCTGGTCAGAAGCCTAGACCATAACATTTGTGTTGAATAAAATTCAAATTTTCCATTAAACCGCGAATATTCTTAATCTCGGCGAAATCACAAATAGGCGAACAGGTAAATTCTGACCGTTACGTGGATGCCGATAGTAAATATATCGAATATATATATAGAGGAATATGTACAATGTGTATATACAAAGGAAAGATGTTAGCGAGAATGCTTATATCTCAAGAATGGCTGGACCGATTTTCACAAATTTTGTCAATTCAGAATGCCCTCTTGGTGTAAAAGTATAAAATCTAAAAAAAAAATCACATAAAAAGATGTCAATAATGATGTTAATATAGATTTTGTAGTATTTTGTGAATTTTTTTATTTTTTCATATTTTTTATCGCATGCGATATTTTCAATTTAACTTGAAAATATTGAAGTGTATATTTTGTATTTCGTCAATTATCGTCCGATCCTCACGAAACTTTTCATAAGGGTGGGGTAAGGCTCAGAAGGGTAGGGTAAGGCTCAAGGATGTCCGCAACATATTTAGGGGTTGAAATGGACCAACAACTAAAATTGTTCCTGATTTTAAAGCCGTTATAAAGGTCACAAATAGAAACCAAAGGACAGCGGGTAGAATGGACCTCTACTTTTTAGTGTGAATAAATACCAGCATTACTTACAAGCGATATCCGAAATGCACAAAGGCGAACTTCTGGCTTTTTTACGTGACATAATTTCAAAAGCAAAATCTTCTAAAATGGATTTGGACATAAGGCGGCTTCTACCATATTGTAGTGTTGTAGGGTATCACATGGTCGGCCCCGCACCTCTATAGCCTTTGCTTACTTGTTACACCCTCCACCTTGGAAAGGAGGGTATATTAACTTTGTCATTCCGTATATATATTCATAGTAAGTATATATATTCATAATCAGCATAAAATTCTAAGTCGATTTAACGATGTCCATCTGTCTGTCTGTCCGTCTGTCTGTCTGTTGAAATCACGATACAGCCCACATTATTTGACATAGAGCGCCAAAATTTAGCAGAGCTATTTGCATTGTGTCTAGGATGGTTGGTATTGAAAATGAGATGTATCGGTCCACGTTCTGGTATAGTCCCCATATAACGGTACCTCCCGATATTCGGTATTTTGATGATTTATTCCACATTATTTAACGGATTTGTCTGAAAATTGGTATTTGTAGGTCATAACGGGTCCTTGTATGTGTGGCAAAACATAGCATGTATAGGTCCACGTTTTGGTATAGCCTTCATATAATGGTACCTCCCGATATTCGATATTTTGATTATTTTTGCCACAGTTTTTAACGGATTTGTCTAAAAATTGGTATTTGTTGGTCATAATGAGTTCCAGCTCCGGTGGCGAAACATTGCATGTATGGGTCCATGATTTGATATAGCCCCCATATAACGGTACCTCCCAATATTCGGTATTTTGATGGTTTTTGCAACATTTTTTCACTGATTTGTGTAAAAATTGGTATTTGTGAGTCATAATGGGTCCTAGTTCGTGTGGCGAAACATTGTATGTATAGGTCCAGGTTTTGGTATAGTCCCCATATAACGGTAGCTCCCAATATTCGGTATTTTGATGATTTTTGACTGATTTTTTCACGAATTTCACTGAAAATTTGGTAGTTGTAGATCATAATGGGTCCCAGTTCGTGTGGCGAGTCATTGTAATTATAGGTCCACGTTTTGGTATAGCCCCCATATAACGGCAACTCCCGATATTCGGTAATTTGATGATTTTTGCCCCTTTTTCACGTATTTGTCTGAAAATTGGTATTTGTAGGTTATAATGGGTTCTAGCTCCGTTGGCGGAACCTTGCATGTGTAGGTCCACGATTTGGTAGAGCCCCCATATAACGGTACCTCCCGATATTCGGAATTTTAATGGTTTTTGAAACATTTCTTCTAATGTTTCCTTTACCCTAAGGTGGAGGGTATTAAAAGTTTGGCCCGGCCGAACTTAATGTTTTTTACTTGTTTTTTTTTTTTTTTTGGAAAAAATCCCTTTTTCACTCCTAACAAAATTTTGGCAAAAATATTGATATGTGCAAAATTTGATTTGAAACTTTATTACTTTTATGATTTTTTTAAAACTTTGACCTTTTATGGGGTCAAAATTTTTTTCGCATTTTTGGAGCTGTTTATATTCCGATAAATGTTACAATGTGATAAGTGTGAACTCCATCGGATACTTCCTTAGCTCTACATAAATTCTTTTTTTAAAATGTTGAATGTTTTATTTTTTTTTTTGGATTTTGGTCTAGAGTCAAAATTTGGCAATTTTTCTTCAAAATCGAAAATGAAGTGACCGTTACGATATCGGAACGAATAGAACGAATTTTTGTTCACAAAAATTGAAGAGGACGATACTAAAAAATTTTTGGTTTTAACAGCCGTACCTACAATCAATTTTCAAAAAATTGACTTTTTAAGTAAACCTGAATTCATCCGCAGACCTTTACATTTTTTACAAAAATCAGAAATTAATGCTTTCTCTTTTAGGAGGCTATAAACATTTAGAAAAGGACATAGTTGCCACAGTCACAACTTATTCTCTACTGAAACGTTTTCGGAGTGTATCATATTCAAATTGAAATTCGTAACCCACATTTGAATACCTTCAAATATGTACGCAGACAATAAAACACATTAATTTAATTGTATATCTAATTTAATTTTATTATTAAAAATTAATTAATAATACATTATTTGTTTTTGTGTTTGGTTTTTGTTTTCCTTCTGTTTTTTGTTGTTGTTGTTGTTTTTGCTTTGTTTGTTTGTGATAATTTTCCAGAATAGTGAACAGATTATAACTAAATTTTTAAACTAGTTTACTTAATATAAGTATATGTACATTATCATATATATATATATGTGTGTGTATAAATAATCACTTATTATTACATAATGGTAATACATTGGTCGAAAATAAAAAACGATAATTTTATTACATTTCCATGTATGCGTATGCGTATGCAAGTGTGTGTAAGAATGTATGTATGTATGTGTGCAAGTATGTATTTTGTTATGATACATTCGTAAATTTGATTTCCTCCATTTTTTTTAAATTAAGGCAGTCTTTTGTGACATAATCAACTAACCGATTAATTTAGGTTTGTTTTGTTACAGATAAATTTAGAATAGAATCGAATTCAAAAGATAAAAAAATAAAAACTAAAAAACTATAATATACATTCAATTTATATATAATAACAGAGATAAAAATATGTATTTGTTTTTTCTTTTGCTGTAATTACCATATTTTTAATGTATATTTAAATTTAACCACCACTATAGCTTCTCCTGATGTCAGCTGTTGTAGAAAACCCACAAATTAGCGCTATATAATTTGTTGTTGTAAAAATCACAAACAGTTGAATAATTAGAGTTCGCTGCTGCAATTTGATATTTGTTGTGGCTCCCGATGTAATGGCCGAGGCTGAGTACTCACCTAAAATGAAGAGAAGAGAGAGTGAGAGAGGGGGGAAATTGCAAATTATTTCAATGAGTTGTAATTTGTGATAAATTGATGGAAATATAACATAAATAAAAATATTTTCATAAATTTTTAATAGTACTCCAAATGGAAATTGTTATTATCAATTGCTATTAAATGGTATAAAATGCGAAATTAAATGAGCGGAATGTTGTAAAATAAAATCCATATTTTTTTTTTTTTTTTTTTTTTTTTTGGGGAAGGTGCGTTATGTGATTTTAAGCTGAATTGCGATATTTTTTTTAGAGAGGAAACATGGATTTAAATAAAACATCGATGGAACAACAAAGGGTCATTGTGTTTTTATACCCAAGAACAACATGTATACATAGTTTTGATTGGGCCAAGAAGTCTGTAACACCTCAAAATATTGGACTTAGACTCATGATGTTACATATCGATCTTCCTATCCTGCCGAGCTGAGTCGGTCTAGATTGTTCGACCGTCCTCTGCCCATGTTAATTTGTAATCACGCTATAGGTCGAAGTTATGGCTGGGATGGGAAAGTATTAAGAGTGAATATTTAGTTGAAATTGAACAAAAAATGAATTTTCCTGATTGTGCAAAAGTCGCACTTATAGACGTATCCACGAAATATTGAATGGGGATAAACTTTGGGATAATATCACTGTTCAATACAAAAAAAAAAAAAAATAATAATAATAATTACAGAGAAAATCCAATAGATTACGAAAGTAGACCTAAAAAAACGAAGCCATGTGTATCGGCGGTTGGGGAGTTTACATTGGAAAGTAACCAAAATAATGGAGGCTAAGTCACACCCCCCCCACCCAAAAAAAAAAAAATCCAGTAGGGAAAGGTCAAAAGTAGGGCGGCGCCGGCTATATGATACCCTACACCACTATGCGTATTTATTAGTTTATATTGGGAATTTAAGTGAAGTAGATCATACAAACTATGAACCTAATTTGAAAGCGTATCATGGCTTTAGAGTAGTCACAATTTGGAAACTACTCTGAATCGATTTTCAACAAATTTGACGGAGTCTTTTGTATCTCTAGTACTAAATAACATTGCTGTATAGTGCATGATATAACTTTATAAGGATTATTATAATAAAAAAAATTTATTGGAGCAATAGTTATACCGAGCTGAGTTTCGCCAAGTGAAAAAAATTCGGTTGGATATGAAAAAATATATGCAATTTGGGCTGATAGTACATATATGGTGGACAACAACAGTAAAATCGGATCAAGATGTATATCGAAGGTATATAAAAATCTGAACCGACCTTCATAAAATTTGGCAAACTTATTTTCGAGCTGTATCTGCATCAAACATTTTTATTGTGAAGTGAATATTACGTATGTAAGCGACTTTAACACCAAATCGGATAAAACATATATATGGGAGCCATAGCTATATCTAAACCGATTTTCACCAAAATTTGAACTACTTGCTTATGGGCTGAATTCCATCGGAAGTGTCACAATTCACTCCATTTGCGCTGATATTAGCCATTTGAGACACAATAAACCTGAAATAGCATATATGGAAGCTATATCCAAATCTGAACCGTTCTTGACAAAATTTAAGACACTTATTTCTGAGCCGTATCTGATATCTGGCACCAAAGATCATTCTTGTGGAGGGCATATTACGCATGTGAGGGACTTAAACACCAAATCGGATGAACCATGGGAGCTATAGCTATATCTAAGACGATTTTCTCCAAGTTTGATGTACTTGCTTCTAGACTGAATTCGGTCAGATGTACCAAAATTCATGTCATTAGGACTTATATTGGCCATTTGGTGGACAATTAACACTAAATCAGTTGAAGATATATATGGGAGCCATATTTAAATTTTAACCGCAGAGAGATGGCAATAAATCGTAGATTTTCAATATTTCTTAGGGAACCATAGACATCGAAACAGAATTCAAATATTTTTAAAGGACAATTGAATAAGGCGATCCTGAAGATCTGGCCTGTTTTTGATCTTGCTGTATTTTTTCTTCTTATTTTATTTTTATCGAAAATCGTGGATTTAAATTATTTTTTGAAAGATCGATTGGAATCAAAAAAAATATTAGAAAAAAATACAGAAAGATCAAGCATAGGCCAGATTACCTTATTACATTGTTCTTGTTTTTATTTTTACTAAATTTTTTCTCACTGGCAACTTGATTAATAAAATATCATCCAAAACCAAATATATCGATTTTTTATAGAATAATTTTTTCAAGGTTCAAAAATCCCATGATATTGGATTTTAAAAAAATATATATATCTTTTTTGAAGTTCCCAACAAAAAATAATGGTAAATTATTTTTTTTTTTTTGCATTTTTAAATATATGCTTTCAAGACGAAAAGAAAATGGCGTGAATTGTTATAAAGAATGTTTGCAATACTTTTGAATGCCCTAAAAAGTCGTTAAAAAACATCGAAAATTTTTTTAAGAATATTCGTGACTTGACCAATGTCGATATTTCCCCAAATTGATAGCAATGTTGTTTTTTTTTTTTTTTGACTAATTTTTCAATTTTCTTTCTAAGATCCAGGAGGTATGCCATATATTATACATCACATATTTGAAACCAATCGACACGGAATTTTGTATGGGAAGAGATTTAACGATATGGAAGAAGTCTAGCATTTTGGGTGACCATTGGATTATATTTAGCTATAACTAACAACACGACGGAGTGCGTAAATATTGGGCAAATGGCCCTGGTCAAAAAGGTAAGGGTAATATCTGGGCAGTGCTCTATGACATATTTTCAAAAGCTAAATCTTCCAAAATTTATTTGGACCTAAGGAGGCTTCTAAAATATTGTAGTGTTGTAGGGCATCACATCGTCGTCCCACACGGCTAAAGCCTTGCTTAATTGTTTAAGTTTTAAATATTATGTAAATATTCGTTTCAAGACTATCGAAAATTTTTTAAAAATATTTTTAAAAAACTTCGTAGATTAACTTTTTTGCTGGACCAAAGTAGACATCTCTTCAATTTTTAAAAAAAATGGGTTTTTACTTATTTTACATTTTACTTAAATGGGTAAAGATGTGTATTCATATATATTCTAATATTTAAATATTTTGCATTTTATGCACAGCATTCAAAGGCACAATAACATTTGAATATAGAAAAAACAATTTTATGGTTGACTTTTAAATGCCAGCTTTCACAGTGTTTTTCATCCACCCACATACCTCAAAAATAGTTTTAAATCTCAATTATACTATTCTCTCATTCATTTATTCATTGATTTTCAAATCCGGAATTCAATGAAAACAAAAACAACAACAACACCATTTCTAAGTGATTTTGACCAACTATTTTATTGAAATGCACTTAAAATCAACCAGCTCACAAATAATTTCCTTTTGTCCAAATCAATGCCTGACATCCACATAACCACACAGAGATCAATACCATTATTATTATTATTATTTATTATATATGTACGACGGAGAGTGCTGCGTCACTAAGCTAATGCGGGTGCCATAGATATTCGCCAATGGAAATGCCGTCGTAGTGGGATTTAAATTTAAAAATGTGGCAAACCGACGGAATACTCAATAGAAAATATTTTTAAAAATCACAAAAATTTTAATCAATTTTTATGCGTGTGTGTGTTGCATATCTTTGCATGAGGACAAGCACACAGCCAAAACAATAGAATGCAACTACTACAAATGTGTGTATGATGACACACACACACATACAAATGAATACCCGTTTTAATGCCCACTTGCATATGTATTCAATTATGAAATAATAACGTTTAAATTAATACAGTTTGTGGCTACCATTTGATGATATTTACTATTTATTATTATTCTTGTTTTTGTTATATTTTTTTGTGTTGCTGTTGTTTCTGTTGTCACTGCTGCTGCTGTTGTTGTTATATTGCTTATAAACTTTGAAATTTATTGTGAAAAACGGATGCACTCACACACACACAATGGCGTTAAGTATGCGAATGTACATGTCGTCATTGGTAAAATTTAATTGATGATAGCTTTTACACTGCACAAAAAAACCTCATCGAATTGGCCAGAAAAAAAAAACACAGAATACAGTAGAAAATAAATCACATTTTAACAATACTTGTGTTGATTTTATGCCATAATTAACATCAAAAATGCAGAAGGGGAGCAAACTTTAATTATAAATGAATGAAATAATGAATGCATTTCAAAATGCATTTGATATTGGGGATATCATTTGATGGCAGTTTGAAGAGAGAGATAATACGATTTAATCGTGGAATTTTTTCTAGGGGCAAAACCAATATTTTATCAAAGAAAAAAGTCGTGAATTTTTTTAAAATTGTGGTATTTTTGCATCAAAACCAACAATCGTAAATTCTTTCAAAGTATTTTTTCAATGTCCGATAAACGTGGATTAAAAAAAATGTTTTTGGACCAATAATCGTGGAATTAAAAAAAAAAATAAAAAATCAGGTAGTTCAGCCGGGCCGAACTTTTAATAACTTCCACCATTTGGAAGAAACTTGAAAATGGTCAAAAAACTACCACTTAAATGAAAACTGTTATATGGAGACCATACGAAGACGTGGATCTGCTAATAAAACTTCTTGTCAGAGGCTGTAGTATCCATTACGAACTTCAAATACCAAAATTGAAATAATTCCGGTGAATTTCAATTTCGCACAAATCATAAAAATACCGAGTATTGAGTGGTACCGTCATATAGGGGCTATACGAAGACGTGAACCTGCATACAATATTTTTTGTCATAGCCTGTAGTATCCATCACGAACTTCAAATACAAAATTTTAAATAATTCCGATAAATAATATAGCTTAAATCATGAAAATACCGAATATCGGGAGGTACGGTTGTATGGGGGCTCTACGAAGACGTGAACCTGCATACAAAATTTTTTCCATAGGTTGTAGTACCCATTTGGATCTTCCAATACGAAATTTGAAACGATTCCGGTAAAAAATGTCCCTTAAA